TCTAAGTACCATAGCAGAGAGTTCATCAGAACAATTACCATGAAAGTATTTACAGAAAATCCACAAGGGAGCTACATTATGGGAGTGGGAAAGTGACTGAAGGCATGATGCCAGGTCAGGACCAATAACAATAGTTTCTTTTTTTGAATTTTATCAAGAACATCTAAATATATAACAGAAGTACCAGACCATTTTTCCACATAATCTTTTTCCTTTTTAATGAATATAAACCAAAACTACTCCATTAATCACAGAGATTGAACAATATACAAAGGGGTGCTGAAAAGATTTGAGACAGGGGAGCAAGCAATTCTTCACAAAATCAGATGTTTCATCATTTCAGCAGATTTTAAAAATGAGTTGAATCAAGAATTTTTCAGCACCCTCTTGTACAATGAAAATTCCAGATCAAAATTAAATAGGGGTTAAAATAGGAAACTAAAATGATACATATGACACACTCATATCCTCTCTCCCACCTCACTTCCTCACTTCGTTAACTTTGCGTATACTTGATAAGGTCCGTAAAAAACGTGTGAATTTCTTTTCATTTTTCATTTCAGCTTTTGGAAGTAAAGTCTGATGATCCAGAACCCTGTTAAAGGGGTTATGGTGAAATAGCTTATTACATGGAATCTTAATGTGGTCTGTCTTTTATTCAAACATATCTGCTCTGAATTTTACATTGAACTCTCTGGATATCATCCTCCTCAGGTCTACCCATACAGATTACCTAAATTTCCATAAACTATATATATATATATATATATATATTTACATATGTATAAACACATATATAAATATATCTATTTATATTCAGATATGTAGTGTGATGTAAGTATCAAATTAAGATAAAAACTACAAACAAGCAGACCTACCTCCAAGAATTCAGTCCAATGAAAATATCTCTAACCAAAACCACATAAAGACATATTTTGATGCTTTTCATTAAGTAGAGATCATGTGACAGGAAATGGATGAAGATGATCTTTTAGTTAACATTCATAAACTCATTTTTTTTTCTTTTTGCCTACTTTTAATATTAACTGATTTTTTTTTTTTAATTTTTATTTATTTTGAAGTAGGAATTTTTATTTTACTTTTTATTTAAATTTCTTTTCTCATTGATTGACTTGAACCATTTAAACACTTAAGTCAGCAAAGTCTCTTGACTTCATTCTGCTAGACTTCTGTTTTTTTTTTTTTGATGAACAAGCATAATGTTAATACTCTGAAGATAAGGGAGAGAAATATTGAATCCACAAATTCAAACATCAAATCTTGGTTATCCACAATTGATTCTGAGGAAGGACTTTATCCATTTGCTTTGGATTTTAAATTTAATCTCACAGCAAAATCAAAGAAGGAAATTCTTAATCAAAGACAACAACAATGATTGTCAACTGATTACTAACAATCATATACATATTATCACAGCAGTTCACTTAATTAATTTGACTTTATTATAATTTCTTTCTTTATTTTACACAAATTATTAAAATCATTGCATCTCAATATTCTGTATAAATGCTGCCAAAGGCAATAATCAGTGTGATATAAAATCCTAAAAAAAAGCTCAGAGTTCATTCCCAAATGCAAACACGAAAACAAATTCCAACTCCACTATCTTCAACTACATCACAATTCAAAAGACTAAACAACTGATAACCCATAATCTAAATCTAATAAATTTGATTTCCAAACTTTAGAACTGAAGAAAGTATTAAAAGAACAGAAATAAGACACTAAATAAATTAAAATAAAATAAAAAATAATCAAAATAAACTCAACATCAGCACTTGAACAAAACAATGAAAAAAAAACTGTTTTCCTATTTCTCTCACTTCTCCTATGCTCCCAGTAACCTATATATAAAGGCCACATAAAGTATAATAACACATGGCCAAATGATTACTTAATGCATGAAACTGACAGTCACTATGCCATATTGATTGCTATGTGGACACTTTTTATATCTACAAAAGGTCTATCGCTGATACTGAACACTCTACCACCATAAATATACTAAATCTTAAAACATATATATATATATATATATATATATATTGAAGGAGGAAATGAATACATTGGAGAAACTTCGGGAAGTGTAAACGAAAGAATATATAACAAAATGGACATTTTAAATAACAACACACAAAACACATTGATTGTTCACCACAGTGAAACTGACCACAATTTTGACATAGGGAATGCTGCTTTGATTAAAAGAGAAAATAATCCTTTGTGATGAATTTGTCTGAAAGTAAATTTGCACCCAAGCTCCTACAATATATCACCATTCTTGGTAGATTTTATATTGCTACACTGTAGGATAGTCAGAGACAAAGGTGATGGAGATGAAAAGAATAAGAATACAGATGAATTTGGCTAGAATGAAATGAAAAATATTCTTTCAAAAACTAGCTGTGTATCTCATATTTTTTGTGCATGTTTAGATATGGAAACATCAACAAAGCCCAGTCCAATGAAATCCTAACAGATGAAAACACATCACAAAAAAATTTTCCAGTTTGTCATATTTTCTAAATATATATATATATATATATATATATATATATATATATATATATTAAAGAAAAAACAGACCACTTTAAGGTTCCATTATAAAGCTTTTTAACAACAATGCAATAACATATATCGGGTTTGGTGTCTTCAGGTTGGAATGAAAGACAAAACTTTCCACAGTAAGGAAAATGTATTGGGAATTTTTAGGTTAACAGGGTCAATAAATTAATTTACCTTATCAGATTTGACAACCAGAATGTGCTTTTTTTCATTAGAACTGTTGGTGTTTGTTGGATTTTAAATCAACCCACTCCAGGTAAATCTGTTTTTTCTCTACTAACTCTTATATTGCATTGTGCTATTATTGTTTTTGTGATGATCAGTGACATTATGTATGATCCTGGGCTTAAGTTTATTGTTGAAAATTTGATATTAACCCACTCTCAATGCCTTTTCTTCTTGGTGAATTTTTTTCTCTCCTGATCGGACTGACATTTATTTAATCAAAATTGTGGCCAAATGGGTAACACGGCATTGCACAAAATATATATATGACAAAATATAGTTTTAATGTATGCTATCTTTATGGGTTAAAATGGTCAATATCAGGTGTAGACTGTATGTAAATATAAAAGTGGACATTGAAATCAACACCCAGAAGCAACAAACTGTTTCATGCTTGAATGCAATCATCATAGACTGATGATTGTGTTCAACCATGAAACAAACTGTTGCCTATATATATATATATATATATATATATATATATATATATATATATTGTTTATACATTATTTTTATACATACAAATATTTAAGTAAATGCTCTGCTTATAATAAACAGTATTAACTACATTTACCCCCCTGAATGTTGGAGAAATTTCATAGAAAATATGTGTCCCCCAATAGAAATCAAACCTGTATCCTACACAGAACTGTCATATAGCCTGACATGCTATGCCATTTAGCTACAGAGGAAGTGTCTGGTTAGCAAGGTTGAATTACTGCTACAAATTTCCCTTGAGTTCTCTCAAATGCTCATATCTGCTTGAAGCGTATCTTAACATAAACAAATTGTTAACCAGATGCTTTATTTTTCATCTTTCAAAAAGACTTTGATTGATATAAATTATAAATAATTAATTTAAATATTGTAGACCATCAGGAATTTTTAAATCAACAACACAGTCAGTGAGTACCTGAAGATTGCATATTAGCATGAAACTCTGAGCATTGAACACTGTTTTTATAACACCTGAGAAAAATATATATATGTATGTGCAAGTATATGTGTGTATATATATGTTTTTTTATCATATATATATATATATATATATATAGACACACACACACGTGGACTCACACACACAAACATATATATATATATATATATATATATATATATATGCACACACACTATGGATAACACTAAAAAGGTATTCAATTTTCTAGAAGGAAAACTGAATTCAAAACCAATCTTGATGAATGATGGGCTACATCAGGTTTTCTTACCTTAGACACACCACTGCACCCATCGCTGCAATACATGTAGTAGAACAATGACCCAAAGGGGTTACACAACACATGACACAACTATGTATTTACCTCAAAATTTCACTTAAGTAAATTTGATATAACTAAATTAATTGGATCTCTACACATCACCTTTAAAAAAGAAATAAATCATCTAATTATTTATTTTTATTTTTTTATGTATGCTCATTCCTGATGTTCTCAGAATATAATATATAATAATTTGTCTTAATTCTTTTTGTTAATCAAAAAAAATATAATCTGGGAGTTGTAATGAAAGAAATACACATCAAAATCAATCATTTCTTTCAAGAAGTTCAAATAATATTACATCTAATATTATGAGTGAATATAAACAAAGATGGCAGTGCATCAGTTGTTTGTGGGATGGGGATAATGGTTAAATTTAAATTGTTGTAATCATTTAATCCACTGGTAACTGTTGAAAAATAAATAAATAAATAAAAGGCCCCTAATATAAGAAATATGAGTTCAAATCTTACTGCAGGACTTTTGATCTCAAATCAAAATTGTTTAATGATGTTCATAGAAAGATGATCTGAGAATTGCAATAAAAAGCAATTCAGATGAAAGCAATTCAGATGAAAGCAATTCAGATGAAAGCAATTCAGATGAAAGATATGAAAATAAAAATTAGTAATAATTTCCTACAAGAATTCCATTTAAAGCTATCTTGATTCATTTTCTTGAAATTATTTGATAAACAAAGTCTTTGATATTTTTTTATTCTCATGCTATTATTTTACCATAAGCCTTTCAAAGTCAAAATTATTAAACTTCTTATCAATCAGTGCAATAACTTTGGCAACCAGACAAATCAAATTTCCTTACTGGTAAATATACAAAAATATGAAAATCAAAAAATAAACAATATTTTCCTACTGTTCCATTGAATGAATGACCATACTCTTCAGAAATGTGCTATAATTTGCTTTCAGGATGATTGCCAAGACTCAGAGATGTTGATCCTGCTGCAGCCAATGAGTGTGGGCGGTTACGGTTGACCAGTCGATCACGGAAGATAGCACAAGCACCATCCGAATCTAAATAAATAAAAAAAAAAAAAATGAAAAAATGAAAGGAATAAAAATAAATAATGATCAGTTATAAATTGTTTACTTAAGTTTGTTAACAGATAATAGAAGCAGAATGATCATTAATGTAATTAAAATTAAAGTATTAATTTATAAATGTTAATTAAAGTATTTCTTTATAAATGTTAATTAAAGTATTTCTTTATAAATGTTAATTAAAGTATTAATTTATAAATGTTAATTAAAGTATTTCTTTATAAATAGTAGTACAAATCTCAACCAAAATTTGGACATTGATTTTATTATGATGATTCTGAAAGGTTTTTTCTTGTTTTTTTTATCAAATCAGTAAAACTTGAAATATAAATAATAAATAACAGCAAAGTAAAAAAAAAATGTTTAATCTATCAGTTTCAAATCAATTTTGAATTGTTTAAATTAGCATCAAATTTTATTGATAACCAATAATCTCAGAGAAAAGGTAGACAATCACACACACATACATTAATTTTTATATAGATGTTATTAATTAAAAATAAGTTTTAGAATAGCATATGTGCAAAAAACTAAAACTAGGAAAACAAAAATATAAACCTTGAGAACTAAAGTCATGTTCTTAAATAGCCTTGTCACATTGAGACTCTCATATGGATATCATGCATGGTGTTCATCTTTTTCAGGTAATGTCTAAGCTATCATCTATATAGAATTGTTTTCTCAGATCAATGATTAAAAACAGATTGAAGTGAATGAATTCTTTAGGTCTTAAAGAAAACAATCTTTCATCAGATCCTGACACTACATAATCATAAAGAACTTTACCAAATAATAAAACCACATCACTTGGAGAATTCCAACAGCAATAAAGATAGGTAACACATGAAGAGGAAATAATGCTATAATCAAAATATTGACTTTTCATCCTATCTTAAAAGGTTAGGAAGGAAACTCTCATCAATATGAGAAAGGGCAGTAAACCTATTTTCCTAAAAATCTGTTTTAAGAGAAAAAGATTTTATAATTTCAATCAACAGTAATGCTAATTGTTCATTCAATGAATCTCAATTGTTTCTTGAATGGAAATATGATTAATTACACCATTACACAAAACCAGTGGACTTTCAAGCAATCTTTAAGATTTATGGTAAACTGAGTAAGGGTTAGATATTTTAAGAAAGCTTTATATTCTTTATTTTATTATCTTATTCTCTATTGTGAACATTTCCAATAAAATCCCAAAAAATTCCACTCACCACCACCACCACCACCACCACCATCTTCATCCTCATCATCAGCCACAGATCCCTTCTTCTGTTTCGTTGGCATTTCCACAGAATGCATACTTTTCCGTTTCACACGATGCTGCTTTCCACCCCCAGATAGAGAGATGCCACTGAGGATCAAAAATATAAAGTATCATTTTAAAAGAATAGCAAAACTGTAATTAAAAATGATTATGGGAAGATAGTCAAACCAATTTTTTTTCTAATTATTTTAAAATATGTTTTTCCATCTTATTTTATTATTTTAATTGTGAGTTTTTACTTTTTATAATTTTTTTGTTTGCAATCAAAAAAAAAAAAAATGGCTGTAATTGTAATCTTTCTTATATTTTGTATATATTGTCCAGTTTGGAATGTTGTTTAGAGTGGCAGTAAATTCTACAACCATCCTGAGCAGCACAAATATTATGTATGCCACTGATTAAGGATCTGGTCAACCCTTATTTCAGGTAGCATTTTTGATGATCTCCTGTTTTTTGATTTGTGCCAATTTTGTATATAAGAAAAAAATTCTCCTCCTCTTCTTTGCCTTTCAGCTGTCATTTAATCTCAATGACATACTAAGCACTTAAATGACTCTTACTTTGCTTACACAACTTTCAGCCAATAAGAGTTGACCTATCTTAGCTTTTTTGATTGACAACTATTATCAACAATGCACACTACCTTGTGACTTCTCCAAATTTTGGTGACACTAACATTTATTTTCCAAATTAGAAAAATCTTTCTTTTTTTTTAACCATCGTTCATCTTATGTATTTGTAAAATTCATACAACCTATAAAATTGGCAGAAAATTGTAACATTTTTTGTACCAGATTTGTTACTTCCTTTTAATAAATTTTATTTCTTGATTAAAGTTGTGAATAACCATCAACATTCGATAGTCCAAAATATGACGATTATAGTGTCATTTTTGTTCCTCCTCAAAATCCTTAAAAATAAAATAAAATATTTGTAATGATATGTAAATGGCTTCCTAATTAGTATAGATAAAACATAAACTATATAAATGCTCAAGCAGTAAGGGTAGAGCAGCTCTCGGTATTCAAGATAAATGACTACTGCTGGACTGAATACAAAGGAAATCACACTTCATAAGAAGTATCTTGTTATCTGTCTCTATTTCTGAGATGAGGTATTATAACTATTTACACTATTTACATTGTTCAGACTGTTTTTTGTTTCAAGAACACATGGCCCAGTAGATAAAAGCATTGGTTGAAGTAATCCAGTGATTTGACCCAAAGAGTTGTGAGTTCAATATCTAGCCACAGCAGAGATGAACAAAAACTTGGAGAGTTGATTTACTAAAATGAAATAACTGAAACTGAGATATCCAAAAAATTCATGGCATTTGGAACAAAATAAAAGTTTCAGTTCAAAATTCCAATCACCTGAAGAAGGCAGGAGAGTATAACAGTTGAAACATTGTGAATGTGACAACAATGATAAGGAGAACAGTCCAAACAATGTAAATAGTTTAAAAAGTATTTTGTTGTATAATCTGCTAATTGTATTTACATTTTTTTGTAAGATTGTAACTATTTAGTGTACTATCTTCCTTGCACTAGTGACACCAACTGATAGTGTCTTTCTTATGATAATGTTCCAGGATGTTTATGAAAACTAGAAGGTGAAATGTTCAATATCATGAAAAGGCAAAGTACAAAAATAATTGGAAAAACATATTTAAAGATTCACATGTGACAAACTTCTAATAATGATAAGGCATTAATAAAATATGTAGTCATTTTTTTATGGTATGGTTAAACTAGTTAAGTAATAATAGTGCTAAGTTGTCTACCTGTGTGCCAAATCCAAGGAAGAGGAATTGTTTTCATCTACTGCACAAGAATTCCTTTTCTCAGGAGGCTCTTCAAGAATTGGCTCCTTAAAAGTCCTCAACTGCCCATTGCTGTCAAACCTGTTCATAAAAATAAGTTTAACTGGTAATCTATGCAGATGATGTGAATGCACAAAGACAAATATGATTAAATCCTTTCAGAGAGAAAATAAAAAGATAAGAAAAGTATAGCCCAAATAAAAAATTGAGAAAATATCTCTTTCTTTCCCTAAACAGTTAATATTTAAAGGCCTCCCAAAAACTGTCAAAAGGAACTGTATTTTATTGTGATAGGTATCTGCCTAGAATATGGATGTAAGAACTCTAGAAAGTTGGTAGCATTAAAGAAAGATAACTCTTGTTGGTATCACAATAAAAACACCCATAACTCATTAGAGTCATAGAGACACCACATGTACTGTAACCACAGTAGCAGTGGCATTTCCTGGGTAAGATAGACTGACATGGACCCAGTCCTCCCAGGCTGATTTTGAATTCAGAGTTTTTCCTTCTTGTAGACCAATTGCTACCTAAGGCTATAGGATCCAGTCTATCCTGATATTACCCAGAGCTGGGTGCAAGAGATGTATTCATACCTTTCCCAGGGGTATTAGCACATAAGTGAATGTAATGAACTCAACTTGAATTCTAACTTGGCTCTCCAATTCCTTAATCAGAGCCACTATCCATTATGCCACCCTTGTTGGTTTATTTAATGTCAAATATTATAGGAGAAAAATCACAATCAATTAATAGGTGGGCTGACATAGGGTTTGTTTACATTAAAGTCAAAAAGGCAGACAGTGGCAGTTGAAGTATTTTAAGTCCTGTCAACAAGGCAAATACTGCATGAAGTCTGGCTAGAAATAACAACTAAATTGAATCTACAAAATTGTGTACTAGTTTAGAAGATATCAGTTAAATCTAACTGGCTAATCAGATGATTATTATTTTTTGTCCTCTATTTTATTTGTGATGTAAATGAGAATGTTGAGATATAGTGCTACTGTTATTACAGACTTTTGTGGCACGCATCAGTCAAGAAATAAGCAATTATAAGTTGTTTTTGGTATAATCATTGTTTAGATTTTTGTACACAACAAAATGGATGCAGAAGGAAGGAAAGAAATAGGAATTCAGATTTAACAAATAACAAGTTTTATTCTGGTTGATTAATCACTTTATGCAACGAATCTCTTCCTAGTCATATGAATGCAGAGCTTTCAATTTATATGTGAACTGTACAGATATTCATGTGCGTATTTAGTTGAGTTAAATTTTAAGCATGTTAACAATGAAAGACATAAGCTTCTTAAATGAAGAATCCACATGAGAGATTCTCCCACAATGACTTTTTACTTCTATTCAGGACATTAATAAAGGATGATCTAGCTTTATTCTATCAAAAAGATTGGTACTTTTAGTCTTCAAAACATTTTATGGCATTTTTATAGTAAGAAAACATTCTAAAATCTTTTTTATGATATTTTCCTTACAAAATCAATTTAGGATACGTAGACTTTCAACTCTGTAGTAAGAATAATTGAGAGATCCAGCAATGCAATGAAATTATATATCACTGGTAAGAGATTGTCAAGTGAAAATAGGTTATTAATCAATTTAAGCTTTTTGTTATCTATTGTAGCATCTCACTACTCTGTTGATATACCATCCCAGCAACAAACACTTTCTATGTGTCCTTGAACAGTTTGTTCAAGTTTAGTAATTCTCTTTTTGTAAGATATTTAATTATGCTTATATAAAATAAATATTACTTTTGTCCTTTTCATAACCTAGAGTAGTTTAATATTTTTTTTATTATAACTGGAAGTAGTGTTATAAACCCTGTCAATGTTGTAACACCACTATTTCATAAAAGCAGTTGCTCTATGGGAAGGCATTCTGCTATTATTAATGTGCAATCCTACTACTGCAGTTGATCCTACTAACCTATGGGGCTGCTCAGGGAGAGTTTATAGATCTTGTTCTTACCAAACAGTATGATGCCTGCTCCCATTTCTCCAACAGTTGAATCCTGTTTCTAAACAGTTGATTCCTGTTATTGTCAGTGTTAATGTGCGATCTTGCCGCCACAGTTGATCCTCTTAACTGACGGTCTGCTCAAGAAGATTTCAGAAATTCTGTTCATACAGAACAGCATGATCCTACTTCCTTGTTCATTTTCAGAACCAAAACTAAGTCTTTCCCCAACTGTGTGGGTATGTACTAACCACCTTTTTCAGGACCAACAACTTAGACTGTCTCAATATATGATGGTAAATTGCTCGTATCTTCTGTGTTATACCAAGGGTTAAAGTCATCTTCTGCACGTATCAACTGTTCTGGTTTATCTTCTGTAAACTCCAGCTGATTCAGTGTAATATATCAACCACTTTGTTCTCATCATCAGTGCTACAGGAACTATTTTCCAAATTTATTTTTAATGCTACCAAAAACCTATTCCTGTTCCTCACCACCAGTAATCTATATAAAATCTCTCTCAAACATGAGTAGCATGGGAAATGCATTCTTCCTCATAATCTTCAGTTAGTATATGAAAGGATTTGATAACAATTTTATTTAATTTCATTAGAAATTTCAAATTGGTACATTGCCTGATTTTTAAACTGGCCATTCTTTTTAAATTGTTAGACAAACATGTAAACTGAAGATGCAAATCAACTGAAACTTTCAGGAATTGTTCATTCTTACCCATTGGTCAAATGTGGTTCCCACATACATACTGTGGCTTAATTTATATAAACCCTGCCACACTTCATAAGTGACAAAAAAGAATTTAGACTGTATTAAATTCTTATACAAAAGTCTTTTATTAAAGTGCATTGATGCTGGTGATAGACATTATTATTATTAATAATTTAATGAAATAAGGAAAAAGCAGAGACAGTACAGACAGTAGTAAAGGTGTTGGTCACTAACATATGAGATTAGCCATTCCATTTTTTCTAAAAGTTTTAAGGAAACCTGCAATAATAATGGTAAGATATTGGGATGACAATTAAAAATGGAATATATAAACCAAATATAGTTTAGTCTTAGCAAACAAATCCCCATTCCAACTTTACATAGAAAAATGCTATTTTTATAAAAGCAGTTAAAGAACCAAAAGTATTCTTACCAAGTCACTGGAGCATCTTCAGGAACAATATTTCGATAATCTTTGGTCTCCTTCTTCAATCTTTCTGCAATTTTGAATTTATTCTGAAATAAAAAATGTAATTGTTTTAGATTATTTAATCCTATTGTCTTCATTGCCTAATAATCTTATTGTCTTTGTTAGTTAAAGTTATAAATTCTCTCTCAAAAAAATGAAAAAATTAATAAGGAAAACATATGCTTTGTTTCTTGTTTTACAATTGATATTTTCCTTCGGCATACTCTATCCATTCATAAAAGCTCAATTATGATATGAGATTATGTTGTAAAATGTCTTATGCTGTGAAATGTCTTATGACATAAACATTCCAAAATTGATTTGGACAATTGTATCCATTGTTTGTGTTATTGATAGTGTTACAACATTTCAGTCAATCCATTTTTCAACCTTCTTCATGTGTCAAACCAATTGTTATATTAGTTACCATTTTATATTTTCTACCTTGTTCTGTAAAAAATAGATTTCTCTCTTTCTTTACAGTTTATGCATCTAAAAAGACATAGAATGAATCAGACAAAACTTTAAGGTAACAATTTCAGCAATAAAAACTGACTTCAGTGGTCCAATGAAATCCTGGAACATATACTTTAACTACATATAAGAGAATAACTTTAAAGTTATATGCTCCCAGTAATATTTATGAAAACCTAGATTTTAATGTTAAATATAAATTTAAAATCACCTAAGACTGATTTTTGAACTCCCACATTAGTGCTTCCTAGAATGTTAATATCTTGGCCTCTTCAATTCAAGGTTACATAGTTATCTATCCTCCTTATCTCCACTTACTTCCACTGTTTTGTTCTGTTTATATTTTACACCATATTTAACATTAACATTCCAAATGTAACCATTTGCCTTCAGTAACTTTCGAGATTTAATAAAAAAAAGATTTCTGATATTTTCTACAAAGTTTGTGGCATAAAACCTCTGCCTTGATTCCCATAATGGAAACAAAAGCACACAAGGATTTTATCAATTTTTCCAAATAATACAAAATCATAAATTTAAGTCAACAAAGAGAAAATATGATGCAGAATTAATCAAGCCAAAATGAACTGAGCAAGAAAAAGGTTGATGATAACCAGAGGTAACTAAATTTGATAGAATATATTCACACACTGGCGAGGGGTATTTATCAAATGTTTCAAGGTCTGATTGCTTTCACTATTATCCTTGTTACAGATTTCTTTTTACATCATGAAGCATGTAGAATGCTTTGAAGAGATTTTTATGTGTACTCACTTCAGGAGTTCCATACACATAGAAAACTAGAATAGGCCAGGTCATATCTGCAAAAAAAGACATAGTGTGGGACCCAAACTTTAATTCTGCCAAATATTTTCTAATCTTGCTCATTGATTCAAATCAATGGCCTTTCTACAAACAATGCAACTAGCCTGCTTTTTCATTTATTTTTCTTGATTTCATCCCATTCATATTATGATAAGTTAATGAAAAGTTCTCAACCTGACCAACTACCAAAAATGCGAGCATTAACATTTGTTTATATTTCTGAGATGAGATATTGTAACTACTTACACTATTTACATTGTTCAGACTACTGTCCTCATATTTATTGCCATATTCACAGTGTTTCAGTTGTTGTATGTTCTAGCCTTATTCAGGTGGTATACATTGGAATTTTAAACCAAACCCTTTATTTCATCCACTGGGGTAAATTGTTCTCATTCCATGTGCCATGCCTTTTCTGGATATCTCAGTTGCAGTTATTTCACTTTAGTAACTCAACTCTCCAAGTTTTTGTTCAAGTATTGGTTGAAGCAATACAATGACTTGACCCAAAGAGTTGTGAGTTCAATACCTGGCTGCAGTAGAGGTTAACAAGAACTTGGAGAGTTGAGTTACTAAAGGAAAATAACTGAAACTGATATATCCAGAAAAGGCATGGCACATGGAATGTTAACTACATCTTGGAAAGTTCTTGCTGTTTAGAATCAACCCCTTAGAAATTTAATTCTCTACTTGTATTACCATATTTGATGGCATGTAAAACACACAAGTGTATAAGATGCACCTAAATTTCAGCAGGGTAAATCAAGAAAAAATTAGTAATTAGTAAAATTAGTAAAATTATTAGTAAATGGTACAGCCTAGGCTATATTTATGAGGTATTATTTTGGTTAAACAAGCCATGATTACAATTAAACAAAAAATAATAGGAAAAAAGAACACAAGCCTATAAAAACTTTATTATATCCAAAGGTAAGAAAACAAAATAAAAATCAAGCAATTATTACAATTGAGCAAAACAGTACAGTTACAATAAAAAATTTTATTCATCTTCAAATCCATAATATTCATCGTCTTCATTATCAAAACTCTGATACTCATTTTTAATACTACTATCATCGTCATTAAATAATGTGTCATCTTCCGTTCCATTGAGAGCATTGCTAATGCCACACTTTTTAAAAGATTTCACAACAATTTCTGGTCTAATATTATTCTAAGCTTGCTTCACCAATTCACAGACTTGTGCAATGCTAGGTCTTTTTATTCTTCCTAAAAGGTCATGATCAGGCATTGCCATCAACGTGTTCTATTGCTCCTTCATGTTTTGCTTGAATGTTCTATTCAAAGACACATCCAGGAATAACCACTATCTTTGTCTTCAATTCTGCCACTTTCTTTTTAATGGATTCAGTCCTATGTGCTTGGAACTGATCCCAAACGAGAAGAGAGGGCTTTTGTAATAGTCCACCAGGACATCTTTCCCATACAACTCGTAGCCATAACTATAGACCAGCTTCATCCTCCCAGCCTTTTGGATGAACATGCACACCTTTTGGCATTTTATCTTTCAGTGAAGTTTTTCTCCTAAAAATCAGAAAAGGAGGCATTTTTGTGCCATCAGCGCAACATGCAAGAATGACAGTATAATAAACATTAGTGGGACTTCATCCATATTTTCTATCTGGTCTAGTTCAAAAGGAGTTCTTTTTTGAGCATGTATAACAAATTTATGAAACTTTACTATTTTGTCATCATAGTCAGCTTGTATTCTCTGTGCAATTGATGTGTTTGTACGCATTGATAAACCTTCCCATTTCATAAAATGATAACACCATCCTTCTGTTCCTATAAAGTTATGAATCCCATTTTCATTCGCTAATCTTCTAGTCTTGTTCCTTATCATTTTCATAGTAACAATTCTGCCTGTACTCCTCTCATCTACAACCCATGTTTTAATTTCCTCTTCAATTTCAGGCCACTGTGGGGCTGGGTGGTAAAGGTTACAGTTTCCTTTCTTCGCTGCCCATAGGTTACTTTCCTGCAACTGACAGTAACATATAATTTTTTCTGTAGGTAGAGGGCCAAAATATTTTGCAACTGCTCTATTTCCATGCTTTTTAGCATAATTTATAACATGAAGCTTGAATGCAAAAGTGTAGCTTAACCTCTTTCTTGCTATTGTCATATCTGAAGGAGTGAAATTCAGTCAAAAATTTTCCTTTATATGATCTGTACAACCTGCATCTTGTAAACATCTTAGTGGAATAATTAGGATATAAAAATTCTGATCACATTTATACCAATGCAGCCAGAAGTTATGGCAAGAAAAATATTAATGAAACAAATATATTTTACAAATCTTCCATGATTTAAAGACAGTAAAATCGACCTTGCTAACCGAACTCTCCTCTGTGGCCCAATTGGTTAAAGGCACATCAGTCTATATGACGGTTCCATATAGGATACAGGTTCGATTCCTGTTGGAGGACAAATATTTTCTATGAAAATTTCTCAGACATTCAGGCCGGTAAATGTTGTTTAATACTGTTTATTATAAACAGAGCATTTACTTAAATATTTGTATCTATAAAAAGAATGTATAAACATAAAAATGTCTTATAATATATATATATATATAAACAAAGGAAAAAGATGCATGTAAACAGTGATATTTTTTATGATTGTTTTTTCTATTTTCTTTCAGCTTAAAGCCTGTTCTCAAACCCAAATGGGTACACATTTTTTTAATAGTTTGTTCATAAAATGGATGGGCCAGGGATCTAAAGACCACCAAACATGAAAAATAAATCACTCATTCAAAAAATTTGGTTGCCAAAAAGGAGTGGCTAAGGTACATCCATCGAAGTGAACTAAGGGACAAGTACATGAGTTAGAGCACCCACTGCCCGTACAAATTCTTTAAGAGAACAAGGAAAAGAAAAGCCTCATTTTTGTATTTAAAGTGGGGCCACATTAAAAAGAATACAAGGCTATACCCATTGACATAACCGATAAGTACAAGTTATAGAAATGAGGAGGAAGATAAAAATTGAATGTTTGCTTTATTGTCTAAGTTTATCTAGTGAGAAAAAATTTTAGCAAATATTTTCCCATTGGTGTGAAACAATTTTCCAAGTGAACAATTTTATTGAACTTTGGGAGCAAATAATTTGAAAAGCCTCAAACGTACTCAGTGCTCACTAAATCATTTTTTATGAACTAAGTACAGAGATATGTTTAAAACTAATTGAGTTCTATTTTAATCTGACTGCTTTTCACAATTATGTGTGTGTGATCATGTTGTCAGAGAATAAAAGAAATGTTTGTCTACTTGTCATAATTATCTAACACTGACATGTTTACCTTAAGCATTAGAACACTTTTAATAAAATTGATAAAGATGAAAATCCTTGTCATTAAAATTATATTCATATCTGAAGTCAGATTTTCAAATTGGCTTTTCTACCTGACTTTATCTTTTTCTTTCTACATGTCATGTCCCTTCAGGCCATGAACTGGACTACCATGTCTTTTTACAGATTCTCCTTGTCTTTTTTTTTGGTTTAAGTAATACTTGCTTTTATTTTATGAAGACAGTTTGTGATATTTGCTTTACTATGCATTTGTGTAGCTTTCTCAATGCTTCCCCTGCTTATTTTGTGTGTTGTGAGTGTTAAATTTGCCCAGATTTCTTTCCTCATCACATATCCAAAAACATTTAACTATCTTTCTCTAATTGCTAACAACAATTTCTTCATACTTATAGTTATTATTGTTTTTAAAACTTCATCATTTCTCACGTTTTGTCTATAGTATTCTCAACATTTGTTGGTCGAACAAAGACCATCACTTTCATATCAAGTCTTTTCTTTGTTAGTGATAAAACTGCTCAGCATTTACTGTTATATAGAAGAGTAGACATCACATAAAAGTCTAGCATTTTTTTGTCTATAATATTTTCCAATCCCTTAATACTTTACTTATTTTCTGAAAATCCTATTTCATTATTTTTATTCACCTTTGAATTTCTGTGTTACACTTTCTATCATCTGTTATTATATGACCCAGTTAATTATATTTCTGTATCTAAGTCATTGTTGATGTCCCACATCAAATCACAGTTCACACCTTGGGTTGTCTATTTTGCAGATAACTATGTATTCTACCTTCTTACATTTCCTAGTTATTCCTTTAGCATATGTTACTAAAGTTATATCTGCTACTAATAAATTCTAGTTGAGTCTTCTTAGACTCATATTGCTGATACAAATTAAATAAATCCAGTAATAAATTCATTCTCTGTCCAAATGCATGTCTTTTCAAATTCATATTCTTTTAGAAAATAGAAAAAAATCAATAACCAAAAACTGCTACAAGTGAAACAATAATTGAACTGAACATAGATTAAAGTTTAGGTTAAATTGAAATCAACCAAGAATTAAATCTGTTTATTATGCAGACTGCACACCTGTTCTAATTTAAATCTAAGTCAAAAATCTTGTAGCTGGTGTTTAAGTTTGTCATTTTTCTTGGGAATTGTCAGGCCTAATCTAGTTAAAGTGTTGTATGACAAACTTGCTCCTCATAAGTAGAATACCACAATATTAGGGAACAAATTATTGAGTTGAGCTCTTTCTACCATAAATTTTTCTAAAGAAGAAAATATCCCATCAGTGATATTGCCTAAACTTAATCACCATATCTTTTTCTTTTCTGATTATTTTGATGTAATGGCATTTTCATTCTTTTGTATCAAGGAATCAAATATTGGCCACAGTTTTACATCTGGTCATGTATTCTGCACAAGGTGGTGCTCTTCTTGCTGCTTTGTGGTTAGGTATTGCCTAATTCAAGAGGGGCTAAATGTTTTTGGCCTAATCCACTCCCCAAAATCTGACCAAATAACCAAACATCAGAATTTACTTCAGACTCCCTTCTTGATCAAGACATTTTCAGCACCCCATTGTAGATTTTTAAAAAGTTATTTTTTTCTTCATGCTATCTATTGATGGTACTTGTCCTTTAGCTTTGAGTATGAATGCATTAATAACTCATTCCAATTGACCATTTGATTGAAGTTAATCAAGTGATTAACACAAATGATCACTTCTAGATTCATTAAACTTTATGAATGTGACCAGGAAGAACTGTGAACCATTCTCTACTATAATGACTTCTTGAATCCTAAAATAACTAAATGGTTGTCTGAGATAGGCAATAAGAAAATAGTGATTATAGTGGCCAGTTTTGTTATAGTGTCATGTTCCTTCAGGTCATAGACAATCATGACTCTCCACAACTTTTTATCTTGTATGGCTCTCAGTTTTTCTCTCTTTGCTAAGGCTCCTCACCCACTGTTCTGTCATCCACTCACACAAGTTCATCACATACATGGCTCACTGACTTCCTCTATCTCTTGCCATCAGTATGCCTCAGAGAGTTAAGTTTTCCAATCCCTCCTTCCTCATTGTGTGTCCAAGGAATGTCAGCTGTCTTTTCCTGATTCTGAGTAGAAGTTTTCTTTCTGTTGCCATTTTCTTTAAGACTTCCTTGTTGCTTACTCACTCCATCCATTGAATTTTCAGTTTCCTTCTGTCAAACCATGTTTCTGCTGCTTCTAGTTTTTCCTCATCTTTAGGGAAATTGTCCAACATTCACTGTCATTTAAAAGGATGGATACCACATATCAATTACTAACACAAAGAAAGATTAAAAAATGACTGGGTCAATGAAATCTGGATGCAAGCACGACAAGGATTTCTGGAAGATTCATCATGAATATAATGTACATTTTCTGAATGCTTTGACCCCAAGTTGATATCCAAGGCAATTATAGCAGTACTGCAGAACCTCTTGCAACTGTTTAGTGTCTACAGACATGTTTAGTGTCTACAGACATGTTTAGTGTCTACAGACATGCTAATGTCTTGTCTATATCTAGTTGACTTCAACTCAAGAAGATTGTCAAGTCAGAACACAAACTCACCAAACAAAACATTTTAGCATTTTTTACTATGTTTTATATCTCCTGTCAGGATATTCTTGCTTCTAATATAGCCAACTTTCAGAAGAATTGTTCTTATTTAACAAAGACCAGATTTATGGACCATTAAATGAGGACCCACTGTTAATAGCTTTTGAGAGATTAACTTACAAAGAAATATCATTATTAGACATATAAAAGAAAAAATCAAATTTACAAAATTTTTTCAAATTAAATTTTATCTTAAAACCTAACCCAGTAAATAAAACCTAATTCTAAGCAGGCAGGAAATAAAAAGGAAAGATTTAAGACCAACAATAAAAAGTTTCAGTTAATTCCATGGTTCTGAAAACATTCAAACTTCCTAACATTTATAACAATGTTTAGCTTCATTAAATTTGTAGATAAATTAAAATGGTGATTGATAATGAAAAATAACTGATTGCCATACCTGGCGTATGGAAAGTTTCACATAAGCTGGAGAGTCAGGAATGAAAAATTCAATGAAGAGCTTCACAGCAAAAACTATATGCTGAAAAAAAAAATAAACAAAAACAATTCTTTAAATTTTTGCAAAATTTTGCCAGATATTTTGATGTTCATCCATAGTTTACATTATTATTTTATTCAATGAATTTCTTTTGAGATTTTAGTAATTAACACTGAACATTTCAATTGAGAGTTGAATTTTTATGATGTACTATTATCAAGTTGATGTATTAAAATATAATAATAGCTTGTTAATGAATTACTCTATATTATTGTATGGTTAATGTATTACAATATATTATTGCTTGTTTTGTGTATGACTGTATTGTCTAGTTGATGTATTACAATGCAGTACTGCCTGGTTGATATATCACTATATATTAGTGCTTAGATGATGTATCACAATGTATTATTGTATGTTTAAAGAATTCATTTGCTGTTATTTTTGTATCAATTGCTTATTTTCTCAGTTATTAAATATTTAGTTTGTGTTAATCATTTTTTACTTGGCTTAATTCAGAACAATATCCATTGTCCATATTATTTCTTTCACTAATTCCTTTTCTTTATTTCTCTCTATCTTATCCAGTATCCATTTTCTCTCTCTCTCTCTCTCTCTCTCTCTCTCTCTCTCTCTGTGTGTATTTTCCCTTGTATTCCTCTACATTCTGTTTATAATGCCTGTCTTTTTCACTATATCACTTTTTCTCTTACTTATTTCTCACACTCTCCCTTTCTCTAATAAGTGTCTTTATTCTGTCTCCTATAATAAAAAAAAATAATATCATGACAGTTATAACTAAAAGAAATGTGAGTAAACCAGTAAGCAAAAATAATCTCCCCTCCCCTCAGCCTTTCTTCCTTCAATATTTATGGTTTTATTACCAATTTCTGTAGTGTCAAATCTTTTCTCTTGAAACATTCTCTAGATATCTTAGCATTTTGTCAAAAAGATTCCATGATACATATGATGGCCTTGGTGTTTACATCTGGGAAAATCTTCTATATGACAAGAGAATTGTCTCTTCATGATTTTTTCATATGTTTTGACTTTCTTCATTGCACTCTGTTAGCTAACTCTTTTTCCTGTATAGCCCCAGGACTGTAAAATCTTGGACAAAATATCTGACAGTAGAGAAATAGAGCCTTCTCTCTACATTCATCTGCAAATATTTTTGTGTTTGGTGATTTTAATACTCATGTCAAATGACTTAATCATTCTAATGTTACTGATGTTGCTGGTATACAGACTTTAAATTTTTCTTTTGCTCAGTCTCTCAGTCAAATAGTCATCTCCCTACTCATTTTTCTAATAAATTTGATCAACATTTTTCTTTACTTGATTTGCTCCTTATCTCCTCTCCTAGCTGTTGTCAATCATTGCAACTCTGTCCTCCTGACAATTCAGATGACACTGAAGTATCTGTTGATATTACTATCTATTAGACTTGAACTCCCTATTCACAAGACTTCTTTCTGTTACCAGCATACTGATTGGAATTCATTTTATGATTTCCTTTGCAAGGCCCCTAGCATATAGCCTCTAACAACTTTAGTTCTCATGACCACTGACAGTTCTGTAATAGTGTGTTAAATAAGGGTAAATATTCTATACTTCCTCTCTTCACTCAATTTAAGGTGTTATCATCTTCTGCAAATAAAGCAGAATGCTTTGCTTGTAAATTCTTTTTTCACTTAGGGCTGAATCTGTGTGTGATATGCATATAACTTAAGACATGATTTCCGCTAACATCTCTAAATTGGATTTCTACAAAGCATGTAAACTTGATGGTATCCCTACAATAGTCCTAAAGAAATGGGCTCCTAAACACTACAATAAATTCCTTACTGCTTCTTGCTTTCCTGCTTGTTGAAAATCCTCTTCTATAGTTCCTGTTTTTAAGAAATCAAGCATAGCAGTTGATCCTTCTAACTATTGACCTTCTCCTTCTTTTTGGCAAAGTCCTAGATGCTATAACCAACTCTGAATTGGTTAAGCATCTCACTTCATACTTCTATCAGACAAACAGACTTTTACTTCTTTAGATCAACTGATGTATTAACAGTTATTGCTGAAAGAGTCTTTAGATAAGCTTGGGCTATTGCCTTAGATATCTCAAAGACATTTGACAGGGTTTGGCATGCTGGTCTTCTTCACAAGCCCAAGTTTTATGGTATTTCTCATCAAATTCTTGGTTTAATTCAATATTTTTTATCAAATTGCGAAATGAAAGTTGTCTTGAAAGGTGACTCTTCTAGATCTTTAAAATTTTTAGACATTAATGCTGGGGTTCCCCAGGGCTCTAATTCTTGGACCTATTTTGTTTCTAATTTCATCAACAATCTTCCCAATATCATCAATTCTCAAAACTGTATCTATGCTGATGACACAACTGTTTACTCCTGTTTTAATGGTAAGTCTGATTGGTTCAGTAAGGTCAGATTGGCAGTTGATATAAAAATGACCTTCCATCTGCTGTTAACTGAGTCAGTAAATTGTTTGTTAATTCTAACACCTCAAAAACAAAACTGCTCTCTTTTAATTGTCTTAGGGAAACTTTTTGCCTTCTATCAGTATGTCTGATGCTAACCCACAGGTGAGTGACTCACTGAACCTTATTGGGCTAATGTTTTCCTCTGACATGAAGTTGAATCAGTTGCTAGGTCAGCTGCTAGAAAAGTTGGTTCACTGTATTGTGCTAGACAATTTTTCTCACCAGAATTTATCTTACACTTTTATAAGTCTACCATTTGCCCATGCCTTGAATATTGCTGCCACGTATGGTCTGGTACTTCTGCTATATATTTAGAGATTCTTGACAAAATCCAGAGAAGAACCTGCAATCTTATTGGTCCTAACCTGCCATCTCAGCTTCAGTCACTTTCCTATCACCATAGCATAGCTTCCCTTTGCCTTTTCTATTAATATTCTCATGGTAATTGTTCTGTTGAGATTTCCTCTTTAATAACTTGACTTTAAAAACTTAAACACAGTACTAGATTGACAGCTAGGTCTCAATATTTTACAGTTTAAATGGCTCAATGTAACTAAGTTCTATGCTAATAGTTTCTTGTACATTTCTTGCTTGTGGAACTTCCTTTCATCTTCTTGCTTTCCAATCAACTTTGATCTTCAAAAATTTAAATGCAATGTCAATCATCATCTTCTGTCCCTTTGAATCCTGTTCTTTTATTGTCCTCTCTCCTTAAAAATTATTTTCCCATATTCTTTCACATTCAGTAACCCTTGCATCTTAGTGGCTTTCTTGCTTTGCTCAGGGAGAAATGATTAAAAAATATACCCATTTTTTATACTCTTCTCAGTTACTCTTTCCTTATCTGTGTCTCTCTTTCTCTTAACCTCATCATATATTTTTTATTAATGTTTCTTATTCTCTTTCACTTTTTTCTTTTCCTATAACATTTTCTCCTCTACATTCTCTTGCTTTCTGAATTTCTTCCTCTTTTTGTACCTTTTTTCACTCCTTCTTTGTCCTTCTGCTCACCTTTACTCTCTCTCTCTCTCTCTTTAAACATTCTACTCTCTCACTTTATTTTTCATCCTCTCAATTTTTTCCTCTTTATCAATGCTTATTACTCTCACTCTTACTCTTTTTGTAACTCATTCCATTCTTTCTCTGCTTTTTTCCTCCACCTTTCCTATTTCTTAACTCCTTAAAAAAATCATTTTGTGTTGAAAGCTGTGAATTGGTCAGAAGCATTGCTTTATTAGTTTATATTACCTCACAAGAAAAACATCACATCATACTAACAGTTTATAATATACAATATGACATGTTTATTTCTCCCGGCATTTTGATAGCCAATAACATCAGAAGCAAAAGATGAGAAAACTATAAGAGAAATGGTTGCAAAAACTTATGTTTCTATATTGGAAGCTTTCATTTTTAATGATCCTTGAATACAGTTAACGCAAAGATGATTATTAATATCCCTAAGTTCTCACAGAATGGACCCAGTTTGCATTTCTTTTATTATAAATCCTCTTGTTTTTGATAAGGCAAAGTTTACTTCAATTTTTGTTGACTTGTTTGTTTTTATTTTAACCAATCATTTGCATTTGAATATCATTTTATGCTATTCTTTTCTATGCTATGTTAAGTGCAAGATATATAATCTACTTTGAATTTTTTTATATTTCTTTGCTGAAATAAGGTCAGGTGAATGAAAACTAGAACAGACTGTGGTGTACTAATCTTCCAAGTGAGAATGGCCTGCTTTCTTGGATCCTTTCATTCATAATTATTTAACTACAATGTATGTAGTTTTAATGCCATGTCAATTCAGAATATATGCAATCATGGTCCTATACAGTTTCCTTTTCTTTATTATTTGTGAATTATTATGTATTCTTGGGAAGGATAACAGAGTGGTTTCCCATTATCTTCTCCAAGTTTGAATTTAGAGTTTTCTTTCTCTTAGATTGGTTGCCAACCAAGGCTAGAGAGGCGAGTCAAACCTGGTGGGAAAGAGATGGATTCATGTTTTTCCCAAAGATATTTGTGCAAGATTGAATGCAACAGACTAGGCAAGAATTTCAGCTCAGTTCAGCTCACCAATTCTACTGACTGTGCCAATAGCTGTTGGGCTATATATTCCTCCCCACCTACAGATTACACTCAATAAAGTATAAAAATAATTAGTAAAGGACAAATAATTTTTCAATAAATTAAAAATAGTATTTTTTTCTATATAATACATTTACTATTACATGATGTTTTATCAAAAAAACTTGAATATACATTAAATAAGAAATACAGAGTAAACATATATAACAATAACAAGGTATATAAACAAAATGCAATACTTTTGTGTTCCTGCCCTAATCGATTTAAAGAAATGCCAAGATGTCTTGAAGCTATTTTAAAAACAAGCCCTTCTGAATACTTTAATCACATTCTAACCATGATATTTGTGGTTTATTTAAATTTTCAACCTAGCTTGATAGAAAGAATTTTACAAGCATGTAACTGAACCTAACTTCAAGGGAATTTGTTCACAAATATAACTATTCAGCTTATAAGCATACAAAAGTCAAATTAAAACCGGGTTTATCCATATTAGTGACATCAGATACCAGGTAATACTAAAGAGATTTTTTAAATTAAATAATGAGGATGTGAGAAAGAAAAATGAAGAAGAAAAGATGACAAATTGAATATTTGAATCATATATTAAGTGGAAAAGAGTATGGGAAAAAATTCAAAAGAAGTTGAAAGAATAATCTATAAAAGGCTCTTTCCCATGTCTTTAAAAATGGTATGTTCCAGTCAAAACTTGGGGAAAAAAATCAAGGCTTTCAACTTGAGCTTAGAGGTCTTCATTTTATTTATACTAACAGAGATTCAAATCATATGAGAAAGAAAGAAAGGTTTTAAGAAAAAAAAATAGAAAAATAATTGACTCTTGCTTGAAAGTGCAAGACTGTTTTGAAATCATTATGTTTCAGATTAATCAAAGACTTCTGCAAAAAACAAAATTTCTTTCATCTATAACAATGAGTTACCCCCACAAAATCCTCAGCAGGTTTCTTGAGGTGAAGTTTTATTTAATGATGATCATTGATAATCAAAAAGAATTGATAAAAAAAGTTAGACAAAATTAGGTTATTCATGGGCAAACATGGTTCATACAAAACAAAACCAATTTTATTTACATCACAAGAAAACAAACTGGCTACTATAGAATAATGATTGTATGCTTTTGGTAATTTGCCCAGACAGCCTTGAATGTAGGTATAAATTACACACAGAATTTACATTATAACTATTTTACTATGTTTATCTGAAGTAAATTAGTTAGTAGTTATTTTTCCTTCTTTTAGAATAGAATGAACAAAAGCTACAGTTTTTATAATATGGATGTACATTGGCATTAAAATGTATGATGTATACCAGAAAAAGATATCAATATAAGGGAATGGATATGCTTTCAACCATTTATTCACAATGTATTTATTTATACAATAAAATGACAGATATTTTCATTTCTTAAAATTAAAAAGAAAATAAATTTCATATATGTACTGGATTGGCAGTTAGGTTCCAACATTTTACTGTTGAAATTGCTAAATGGGACTATAAATTCTGTCCTAATCATTTCTTCTTTTAAGAACTTCACATATGTGGAATTCTCTTCCAGCCTTTTGCTTTCCTGTCATCTACAATCTACAAAAATTTAAATGCAGCCATCAGCTTCTGTTTCTTTGAATCCTTTTCTTTTTATTGTGCTTTCTCCTCAGTAACCCCTTGCACTTTAGCAGCCACTCCCCCCCCCCCAGCACATACTATCCCCAACTCTTCCATCACTGCCACACCTCAGACAACAAGGAGGGGACCTGATTGAGGGCTGTGTTTAGTGACACTTGCTATCTTATCAACAATTGCTTTTTTTTCTACCTATATTTATATATATGTTACCAATTAAACTAAGAAGTGCAACTGACTATTAAAGGATGAAAAATCTTTACAGATTTACCACCATTCTGGGATCATTTTTTTTTTTTTTGACAAATTCATGAATTTCTTTTGCTCATGCCAAGTCTTGAAAAAACATGATATAAAATTCACTACATTTTATCCATAACATTGAATGTGTTAAAATTATTCAACTTTTAAAAAGAAAAATCTCAAGTTGGTGTTAAGAATTGCCACAAAACATTGTTGATTTATTTAAGATGGAATGTTCTTATCTATAACATGTCTCTAATTTGCATTTAGATACATTGTATTTATTTTCAATTTTTCTAGTTGAATTGTTCACCTTATTGCATATGATCCATTATTGTATATAATTAGGCTACAAAAAAAAATTGCATTTTATAAAAATACTACCTTATAAAAACTGAGATGTTGTAGTGTGAGGGGAGGGGCCATGTCATAAAAATCGGGCAAGAGACCCTTGCACCAGGCTCTGAACTTTAGTGACTTTATCACCTTGCTTGGAGTGAAATGATTAAAAAGAATCTCTAAAGTGGATATAATCAGACTGCTAAATGTGTTAATACCCTAGCAGAATAGATTATTGTTTGTTTGTAAGTCTAATTATTTCTAATTAGTTATCAGTTTGTTGCTTTGCTTCACTTCCTATTTTCAAAATAGAACAATTTTATAAACAGACCTTTCAATAAGAAAGATTTAATAGATTCAATCTCAGTTTGAAAAGCAAACAATTCAGACTGATTTATAGCTAATAAACATTCTCATACAGAGCCAAAATACAAAAATTAGTAAATCATGAAAACTAGCAAATTTTGTTTTGTTATAATGGGGATATTCTTTCTAATATTAATTGTGCCAAAGATATATTTTATATATGACATTCTAAGTCATAAATAACTCCAGTGTCTCCATATTTTCACACTTAAATGCTACAATATCACTCATGCTAGAGGGCACCAGAATATGAACTTAGTAACTGAACAATTCCTTAATGACTTTCCAAACTAAATTCATAATTCATATTGACAGCAATCCTTGTTAAAAAGGATAAAAAAGTACAAGTTCTGTGAATAATTCAACAGAATTCTCAATAGAAAAACCTTACTTTACATTAAATAAACTTCTGTGTAACAAAATGTTTTGATAGGGAGTTACTTCAGCTTTATATTTTGTAAAGCAAACATGGTTTTATAAAAATAAGCTTTCAGCATAGTATTATGTGTTTTTAATAATGGGTCCCAAGAAGGTAAAGTACATTCTTAGGGAAACTCAAATACTAAAATGGACTGACTTTATCACAAGTAAATATTTATTTTGCCTTTATAGTTTTATCACAAATATCTTTGAAGAAGGATTACATTTCAAACTATTTTAATTCTTATGAAGAAACATGGACTACTTTGTAATAAATAATGGACAAACATTTATTAACTTCTTTTTCCTACACTAAAAAACTGTAACCAGACACAGATGTTATGATTTTTTTTCTATTTGGGTTTAGGTTTAATCAATTGAAAGATTTTTCAAATTTCTTTTCCAAGTTTTCTTTTCTTATTGTTGTTCATATAACTGATATTATCTATTAAAAAAGCAACATCTGCTTTTCACTGCTGCAAAGCCAAAACTATACAGAAAAATACCAAAATCATATTTAACACATTTACTGACTTTTTAGAATATCTACAGGAAGTTTAATTTAAAAAATCCAAATGTTTAAAGTTAAAGATTTCAAATAGTTCCATTAAAACTGGAAATATAGTATTTAATTGTTTATGCTCTAGAAAAAACATTTTCAAATACTCCATTTTTTAGCTGAACAGATTTCAAAAATAAATATTTCTTCATTACTTTTGGAATTTAATCTTCTCTTTTAGAAATATCATATTTACATACTTCATCAAATTCATAAACTAAACATACAAATTAAAATGGGATGATAATTAAATTAACTTGAATTATTTTTTCAATTGCCAACATCAAAATGAACACATAAAAATAAGCAATAGATATTAAGTGACAGAAAATATATCACAAAATTTTTGTTGCTGTCAATTTGTAGCTGAAAGTGAAAATGTTTTCCATTTTAGTAATCTTACCTCAAAACCAATGACAATCCAAAGCCGTTTAACAAGTGTAAATTTTTCTGACCATCTTGAGGTGAAGGCAATAAGAAATGCATTGCTTATAACACCAGCAACATTTAAAAACTGCAAAATGGATTTCCACATCCCTTGAATTAGAGGAAAATTCAGATTATTAATTTAACATTGAAAACCCAACACAAAAGGAAATAGAAGGTCTGTTCATATTTATCAATATTATTTATAACATAAAAAAAACAAATTTACTGTCATATTTTATATAACATTAAAATGCCTTTTTTCAGATTACTGCTTTATTTTTATATTTGTTTTTAACATATTCCACTTGATTAATTATTTAGCCTTCTTTAATTGAAATTATCATTTAGTAATCTTAATGTTACTGATTTAATTGAAATGGAGTTTTTAAACTGTTTCTTTGTTTTTAATACAGGACATTCATTTGTATTTATAAATCCTTAGTTAGGGGAAGTGGATTCATGATGGCTGCTAAATTGTATATAATTTTAAAATATCATGACGGTCAATGTTGTTTTATTCAAACCAGCAGACAACCCATGCTATGTGAATACAATGCACACCATTATGGAACTACCACTAGCATTATTGACAACTGAGCTCCATGGTCTCATGTGTCACACTTGAGCCATACCATCAGCTCAAAACAACTGGAATCATAATTCATTGGACCACACAACATTTTACCAATGCTTCAGGATTAAATTAACATCACAACTTTTGGCACATCAGTGTCTATTTATAGCTGGGCTTATGTTTAATTTTTTTAAGTAACCTCATTGAATTTCTTTGTTTATGACTTTTGGGCCAAATTGATTCTAGACATGCACACACACACAAACACACCAAGTATATATATTCATTCATAAATTGTTATAATTTATTTATATTACATGAACTAATACCACCAAGAGATTAACATTTCAGTAACTGGTAATTAAGAAAATGATTTAAAAAATGTGTCACCATTAAGTTTTATTTTTTGTGTAGCAAACCCCTGAGGATTCTCAAGTAACCAGTGAAAGAATTGACTCTGTTCTGATTTTTAGAATCCAAAAGTAATTTAAAGTGAATTTCATGAATCTTGATTTCCCAAATGAAATTCTTTATAAAAACAAACATGTTCAAAACTTGCAAAAACCAAGAATTTAATCAAAGCAAAAATAAATGTAAGTATACAACAATTTCTTTACTTAACAATGTAACATACCAATAGCAATTCTGGGAAGATTTCAAATTACATGACCTGCCAATATTTTTTCCAAAAGGGATAAACTTTTGTTAATGCACCTTTTGAATAATTACAAAATGCAAGAAAAAAGTTTTAAGTACAAAATATAAGTAAAAATATACCCATAGATGGCAATTTTTATACAAAGAGATAACTTCAAACATTTCTTGTTAAATCTTAAACTCTCTCTCTCTGTCTCTCTGTCTCTCTGTCTCTCTGTCTCTGTCTCTCTCTCTCTGTCTCTCTCAAAGAAGAGGAAGAAGAAGAAGTGCCTGTAAATTCGAAAACCAGCATGAGAACTCCTCAGGATTAGAATTTTATAAAAACTAGTTAAGCAATGCTTCAACTGAATGGGAGGATTCCCTTCTATGATATATAATCTTTTCTTTTTACTTTCAGGTGTCATTCAGTGCTAAAAGAAAGAACTTCAGTTGGAAATTTTTACAAATTATTTAAAATATATAAAAAAATTTTCATTCACAATTAATATCAAACAAGGCCAGTTCACTTTCTACTACAGCATCTTCTTTTATGTGCAACATCCTGTCAGGGTATGAATAATCATGTCATCACAATGTCCTATGCTTTGTAGCTTTAAGCAATGTTTGTCCCCTTAATACCTCACCCAGTTCGTGTTCTGACATCCCTTTATACAAACTAAGTTACTCACTGTTTATATCTGTCCCTCTTACCTTTTGTGGGTGCCAAATTCTCTAAACCCCCTTTTTCTCATTATGAATCCCATCTTCCAGATTCTAAGTAAAAGTGTTCTTTTTGGTTCCTACAATTAATTACATGAGGCAAAAAACTCGGATGGAAGGAAAAGCAATGAGATTAATAAGATTTAAAATTGTCACTTAAATTTGTTAGAATCAGAAATTTCTTAGTTTTTTCTAATTTTCCTAAATTTTGGTACATTTTCATTTTATCTGTAACCAAAATCATTAATATTTCCATGTCATTTATTCTCTATGTATATCAACTTTGGTTAGTTTTATACAAGATCTCAAACTGTTTGAAGCAAAAAAATATTCCTATTCCAAAAGAGGAAAGAAATCTGTCTCAACATGATAAAATGCCCTTCAACTTCAGGGCAAACAATAATGGCCTCTCTTGTGAAAAGAAAAAAGAATTACTATAACAAACACTGTTATTCTTTACAGAGATTGTTTTCTATTCAAACAAGTTGGTTTCAAATTTTTTTAACCCATGTCACCAGGTTAATAAATACTGTAAGCTAAAGTATAACTGAAAGAATTGCTAGGAAATGTTATGTTATTTTTTCATTGAACACATTGTTTCGACATTGTTAATTAAAAATAATTATTGTAACTAAATAATCAGAGTTTACTCCATTGACTCATTGAAAAGGTATACATTTCAAAGATTCTGATATAGGCTATTTATAATCTATATAAACAAAGAAAGTTAATTTACCAAAGAAGTGATATTAGTACAATGTGTATAGTCAACCTAATCAAACTGTCATTTCTTAAACTATATTTCTTTATAAAAAAAAAATACAGGCTGAGATGCATGGTCTTTTTATTAGGTTCTTCCCTACCAATTTCATGGCAATGATTTGCTCCCTAAAAGAATAAATACTCAAGAAAAACAAAAAAAAGAAACGGAATGTTTCCCTTCCTTCATTTTCCAATGGCAGTGCATTAATGTTTGTAAAGTAAATATTTAATAAGTTTTAATAACATTGACCAGGTATAACTAATAACTAGTCCAATCAAAACAATGAAAACATGAAAATACAGAACATCTCTTGAAAAAATAATCAGCTAGAGGTTGAATATAAACTGACTGGTCCACTCATGAAAATAGGGAAGAATTTTCTTTTTAGCAATTTTTGTAGATTAGCATTCATTAGGCCTTTCTCTGACACTTGCCAGAATAAAAAAAATATTAATTTTTTTTTTATTATTTTTTATTATTTTAAAAAAAGGACACTGCTCCTAATGTAAATAGCATCAAATCAATTATAGACATTATAAAGAGTTGCTTGTACTTTACTTTTATTTTCAAATGCCAAGTTTGAAATTGTGCTTGCATCATTGATAACTGTGTACTGAATTGAGAAAAAGGACAGCATCAACAGTACAGAGTCATCAAAGACATGAGCACAGTTTCAGACTGGACAATTGTAAATAAAAACAAGTACAGATAACTCTTTAAAAAGTCATGAATCCATTTGACACTATGGTTATATTAAGAACAGATCCCACTCCAGCAAACTCTAATATGATAAAAATACTTTATTTTTAAATTCTAACAAATGCCATGGTCTGATGTGGGGCATTAAAGACAGCCCACAGACTATCTTTCAGCAGCCTGCAAGGAGCTATTTTATTGACCAATATTTTTGAAAAATATTTAAATAATTTGTCCTTCCATACTTTTGTAGTACCAGTATAGAGTTTCTACTACTAGGCCCTCTCTTGGAATTGATGCTATGTCCTGTGTTCAAAATTCATTTCTTCAAGGAAAATTGAAGTGTTTGGGGCTGAAGAGAAAAATAAAAATAAAATTTACTGCCCAGCACAAGGAGTGAGCTCACAGTCTTCAGTCAACCAGCTTTTAATAGAGATGACACCCCTATTGACTGAAATAAGATCACCCAATGCTTTTTTTTTCTTTCTCTCTAGTGAGTTTTTTTGCCTTTGAAGAAAACTTGTCACTTATGATTAACCCCCAGGATTTTTGTAAGTTGCTCAATTTCTGAGGGAGTCAAACAGAGTGAAAAAAAGAAAAAAGAAGACTATCACTTAAACTACAGTATCTTTAACTTCACAGGTTAAAATGTTGCTTTTTTCACAGAAGTGAATGGACAGAAGATAATCTAGAGATATAACCTCCAACCCTGAGGGAGAGGCATTTTTTTTACCTCAGCTTGAACTGTTTCATAACCAATGTTTGGAGTGACATACAAAGAAACATTTTACTTCATATCTGCCTTTTAAATTTATTCCTGCATGATTGTTGTGTTACTCATGTGACAGCCCTTAGCAACATGAGTCAATAACCACATTGCTAGTTTTTCATCTTCTAATTTCCATTCCCTCTAAATAAATTCATTTTATATTCCCATTATACTACTTATAATATAGTATGGTGTTTTTTCCTCCAAAATGACAATATTTTAAATAATTACAAAACTAATTCCTCAGTTTATAACTAACAACAATAAGAGAACAATGTTCCAAATCATCATGTATCATATCTAAAATCAAATAATACTATTAATTTATGAGTTTACATGTACTGTCAAAAATGCAATTCTTCTTCTTTTATGTGTCATGTCCCTTCAGGACATGGATTATCACAGCTCTACACAACTTCCTATCCTTCATAGCACTAATGCAATGTTTGTCTCTTTACTATCCCTCTTTATCCCTGTTCAACCATCCATTTACACAAGGTTATTAGGTAGGTTAGTGTTTTCCTCTACCCACTTGTCTTCAATATGTCTTGTGAGTGTCAAATTTTCTAAGTCTTATTTCCTCATTACATGTCCCAAAAATAGTGAAATTGCATTAGTCACATAATATGCATAAGTAATCTAGGATTTCTATCTATACAATTAATTCTACTGTCACATGTAAGAAAGAAATCTGCATTTTAAATCATTAAAAGTAAAAAATATTCAAAGAGAGTTAATATGAAACAAAAGAAATAAAAAACAATGTGTTATCAACCTGATCTCTCCTACTTACTACTGAGATATTCTGTTAGTAAAAAGATATTCTGGTAATAAAATGTTACATGTTCCTTTGCCGGTATTCAATAATGTTGTAATAATAGAATATCTCATTAGCAAATAGTGGAGATCAGGTTGTGTGACTGATGAATATAGAGATTCACATTGTATTTCATAGAATACATGATAAAAATATATATATATATATATATATATATATATATATATATATATATATATGTAATTATCTATTTGAAAAATTACAAAAATAGCCATTTTGTTTCAACACTTCTGGTGTCTTATCAAGTGATGGTGTTGAATGTAGAATAAAGGGTTATATATATATACTAGTAGTAGAGCCGGCGTTGCCGGGATGTAACAATAAGCGATAGATAGATCAAGTATGGACGATCATAAAGACTGAAAATAAAATTGACAAAGATTATTGTTTAAGGTTGACGGACACGCATGTCTTAATTAGTTTTTTTTTTTTTTTTACGAATTGGTCAAACCCAAATTCAAACGAAAACATTGTTTACAATTGTTATGATTTATGGAAATAATACAGTAATTCCATCTACGTTTTCTGTGGTGAGTTTTCCTCCCTTCCTTCCACACTTGTGCGTGTGTATAAGAGCGCGTCCACTGATTACACCCCTTCCTTTCTCGTTAAGCTAAATATAGTAGTAAACCTTTTCTTTAGTTATTTAAAACTAATTACAAGTTATTGTCGTTTTATCAGCTCCTGCTGATGTCACCAATCTAACAAATTTAAATTACCGTTTTTCCGTTTTTTCTCTGACATCACGGACAAACTAATCATTTGAGTTCAGTTGGACTAAAAATTTTGATCCATGAAGTTGACTCATTTATTCCTCGTCAGTCAACCTTAAATACAGACAGGGATATCTTACTGACAACAAATAATTCTTCATCCCTTTTGGCTCGTCGCAAATAATTTTCTTCAAGATGATGCAACCAACAACAAATAAGTCTTCGTCCCTTTTGGCTCGTCGTAAATAATTTTTAGCAGCAAATTCAATGCCTGATCCCAAAATCTGAGATGACTGAACATTCTCACGACCGTGAACCTGAACAAAAAAGGGTATAAAAAACAAAAACAACACAAAAACACTACACACACTTACAATACCCAAATCCACAGTAAGTACTTTTTTTTATCTGTGCACATCTACACCTCGTGTTAACGAGTTCTTTTTCCAGAACTTTAAAAAAAAAAAAAAAAAAAAAAAACTTTTCCGCCATGTTCACCTTGCTATCCTATTTTATGCCGGAACATTTTCCCTGATCTTGTACCACGAGATAATCTACTTGTTTTTCCATTTAATAAAAAATTACACTTGTTAAAAAAAAAAAAACTTTTCCGCCTTGTTCACCTTGCTATCCTACCAAAAAAAAGTGAAGTTTTGTTGAAATCGGTTGAAAAATGTAGATAGCCTTTCTCTGTAATCTTTTTACAATTTATGATTTTTACTTATTGAATACAAAAAAAAAATTGCATATTTTGCTTGTGGTGATTCATAATTAGAATTCTGATTTGAATATATTTTCCACTCGTTTCTAATACAAAAAATATTAACTTTATTTGGGTTTATTAATTTATTACAAGTACTGTGTTCTTTCCTTAATAATTATCATCTTGAAATATTGTTGTTTTTTGTCTATCAGATTTCTTACGCCGGCATTTTTTAAATTATTTCTTAATACTTTCTTTTAAATATTGAATTAATTTCAAATAGAACCAATGCCTTATTGATCTGCCTTGTAACAAATTGCAAAAGGAATTGAAAAAACGACACTAAAGTACGTGGAATTATCTTTCCCTATTTTATCAAATCGAAAAAAATGATTGATTATCTGTCCTTTTTTTTTTTACCAAAAAAAAACAATATTTTTAACGAAAATTTCAGACATGCTAAGAACGATTAAAAAATGTAAAAAAAAATACCCCAAAAATACTTTGATCTTTCCTCTTTAATAATAATATGAACATTAGACGATAAAATTTTGTTTTCATCAAGTTCAGGTTTTTTTTCATCATGGGTGAGTTTTTTTTTCGTGGGTGAGTTGTCCCCCTTTCATTCTCACGATGTGTCTTAATCGTGTTTTCAAATTGATTTTGTTTAAAAAAACAATGTGTTTTTCCCATTTTCGGCGCCGTAAGAACCACCACAAGGTAATTTTATGTAGTCCTGTGAAGTTTTGTTGAAATCGGCTAAAAAATGTAGGAAATTCGATCCAATATATAAACGTTACAGACACACACACACAATCTGCGTTTTATAATAAGTAAGATTAAACTAATAGAGAGAATAATGGGTTTTATATATATATATATATATATATATATATATATATATATATATATATATATATAAAGGGTTTAATATATATATATATATTTTAAACTAATAGAGGATAATAAAGGGTATATATATATATATATATATATATATATATATATATTAAAGGATAATGAAGGGTTTAATATATATATATATATATATATATATATATATATATATATATATATATTAAACTAATAGAGGATAAGTGAATAACAAAATGAAAAAAATAACATGTTTTATCCCTAAAATGAATTTCTTCAGACTAATACTTTTAATGTTTTCAATGTAAAAATAGCATTTTTTGTATTTCTACAATCAAACTATATACAGGGTGTATGAAAATTATTTTTACAAACTTTGGGTTCTGGTTCCTCACACCAAATAAGGACAAAAATCTATATAAACATATGTCTGCAAATCCTTTGGTTTTGAATTATTAAGTTTGTTCAATAAACCAACTGCAAAGGTTCTCCCATGGTGAGTGATCAGAAGGCAAAAAACCCTGCACATGTTGCAAATGATACAGGAGCTGCTCTTGAAGTACCCTCCATGTGGACGGTACTATGAGATGTATGACATGCTAGGGCCACTTGACATGTGCTGATACCTGGATCATATTCGACAGCCTATAAAATGTATTCCTTGTGGTCAGGCACCCAAGCAGATCTCAGTTTTCCTTTATCCATAGTTTGTGGTGCCACAGATCCTGTCTCAGCAACATGATAAACAGCAGCAAAGGTTGGATGTGACTCAGCTGGCTTCAGTCAGGAAATGCAATCTGGTACAGCTTTGTGTCCACTAGCATTTGCATGGCCATATGTAAAAATCATATCTGCCTACTCGCAATATGAATATCCTGCCATTGTTAAATGGAACACTTCTCAGTTAACTCAGTACTACACACATTAAATGTTGAAGTCACAAATGTACACGAATGACAAATGTAACCTAGTCTGCATAACAACAAAGCGCCATCCACCGTAAATTTTCTTTAAGCTTAATAACTCAAAAATGAAGGATTTGCAGACATATGTTTATATGGACTTTTGTCCTTGTTTTTGGTGTGAGGAACTTACCCCCAAAGTTTGTAAAAGTATTTTTGATACATACTGTATAGATAGATAGATAGATAGATAGATAGATAGATAGATAGATAGATAAGGCTGACTTCATATAAATATTTATAGTCTGGTGTGTTACTTTATTTTATGACTTAATTTATTATACCAAAATTTTCTATACACTATCTTATCACAAAAAAGATATATATATTTTCTATTAAAGCAAACACAAATTATTTACTTTCAAACATATATTCTCATGTTACATGCAATGAGGGCCTAATTGATTGAAACATTGATTCATGGGTTTGGTGGTATAATAATTGTGAGTTAAATCCTTCAGCCAGGTAGTACTGATTCAGGCCAAGTGAAAACAAGACAAATAATTACTGGCCAGTACTAAAAAGAACAAAATGAGATATCCATAAATATGGACAGCAGAACAGGAATAAGATTCCCCTGTAGATTAAATAAAGTGCTCAGTTTTAAATTCTCAGAAGGCTATTTTAGAATTTTTTTTTAATGAGAAGTATATTTTTCTATTTTGGATTGTATCTGAGGAAAAATTGCAGTCATATCTACCATTTAATATATCTATAAATTAAGATTTCTAAATCAGTTTTTACTTACCAATGTCTTGAGATATAAATGACAGTGGTCTTCTGTAAGTCCAGAGTAGACGGTTGGCATCAACCCTAATGTCAAACATATTGGTTAACAGAGCAATCAGTGGTGCCAGTGGAAAAGATGCAGCAAACATCTGCAAAGAAAAAGATACAAATATATATTTGATTCTATTGTGACAGCTGTCATATGAACATGAATTTTTTAAACATTTTTCCTTTTTTGCATATTTTATTTACAGCTTCTAACACTGAAAAAATAAGCAACATTTTCAGTCTGTCATGCTTTTTATTTTAAGAAAGGATAAAAATTCAATTGAAATGCAAAACAAATTTGTGTAGTTCATGAAGAAGGAACTGAGAATGATCAAATGTGTCAAAAGTGGTTTGCAAACTTTTATGCTAGAGATTTCTTGTTAAATAATGCTCCACAGTCAAGCAGAGCAGCTGACATTGATAAAAATCAAATAAAAACATCACTTGAGAATAATTAAGTGATATTGAAGATAACCAACAAACTCAAGACATGGCAGAAGAAACTGGTGGAGAATTATATTGCAAAAAGAAACTGTTACAAGTTATCCTTGGCATATACAATGTTAAATCAAGTGTTGAAAATATTTTGCATCAAGTTGGTTATATTAGTCATTTTGATATTTGGTCTACTTTGTATAACACATATCAAAATATATACAATATATATTATTGTTGTAGGATTTCCAGATTCAGAAAATGTGACTGAAAGCTTCTATTAAAGGAATTTTGCTGATATGATTTTCTCAGCCTAGCAGCAAACATTTCTCTTGACCATTCAATATTTTTGATGGCATATCTACATGACTCATTCTGGTGGCCTGAGGCTTAATGACACCACAACTCTCTCTGCCAATCAACACCCAACCCTTCTGGAAATAATCAAGTTATGGTTGAAATCACTATCAGCCAATGAACTCTCTTTGTCATCATGAGGACAATGGAAGGTCTATTTTAGTAGTTGAAATAATTCACAAGGGGTTGGATATTACTGCTTTCATGCCATATTGTTACTCCAGGGTTAAATTCCTGATCCTGTAGGAAGAGTGAACAACTCTGGATTCAAACCCAACTTATTACCACTCATTTCAGAGACAACAAATTCACAGCTACATCCAGTAACTAAATCTCAAAGCCCAAGAAACTCTTCATTCAAATACAACAGTGGTACAAGAAAGCCCCTTTCAAAGTGAAATATTCTTTCTCTTATTATCTTATTTTCTATCTATGGAATTTTGTGGGTATTTGCTCCTTTCATATAAATTTACAATATTGAATACTAACGCATTTGTTTACATGTGTTCAGAAAGTTAATCCTTTTTTAACATACACATGGTAATGTTCTTCTTTGAAAGTTTGTTTCTGCCCTTCCAGATGATTTATATTGTGTTATTTGTAATGAATGTAAGAGAGGTTTTGATTTTTTGCATGAATGTAATCATCTTTTCCTTATTTCATCAATCTTGTTATTTACCAAAAATTTCATATTTTGGCGCACATATTTCATATTTTTGGCATATTGTGTAAGCCCAGGATAACCCATAATAATAAACTTTTTTTTTCTCCACCATTTTCTTGTGCCATGCGTGCCACTATCGTTGTTACTCCCATTTTTTACCATAGTGACTTCCACATGAGTTAAGCAAAAAAAGTTACAAAGACTGTATTTCTGTGTACAATTTGCAACTTAAAAATAATGAAAACAAATCATAACAGGAGATGAACAGTGGATAATTTACAAAAACATGATATACAAGAAATCAAGGAGTAAGTATAAACTATTATTAATTGTATCAAAGGCCAGTATTCATTTAAAGAAGGTGATGCTAACTATATAATGCTATGTGAAGGAAATTCTTTACTGTGAGTTGCATTTGGAGAATGAAATGAAGTGTGAAGTTTTCAATTATCCACCATATTCAGCAGATAATTCACATTCTTTTAGAGGATGACAGAATTCTTCCGCTTTCTAATTCAATGACCTTATATATTGTTATAGTGGAAC